TTACATTAAGTATTCCATTTCATTTTACAGAAGAGAAGATGTACACCAAACAATTGTAAAAAGTAACACAGATTTTAAAAAAAGACAACTGGAAATGATGGAAGAGGAACATAAATACAATATTAAAATAGCTAACCTAAAAATTAGAAAATTAGAGTTACAAATATTTTTATTAGAAAGTCAGAAAAACACAAGTTAAATAGCAGCTTAATGCTGCTGTGTTTATTATGGTGAGTTTATAGAATGAGAATAGAATAGAATGATTTTTATTAAATATAGATTATTACAGAATACTTATTGAAAGACATTTTTTATTTACCACTGGTTCGGAAAATACCTCAGTCCTGGGAAGAACTAGTAAGAAACCCAGCGGGACTTTTTTATAAACATATTTCTCTTAACAATAATTTTATTTGTACAATTTTTAAATGAATTTTAATAGAACCACCATGGTGGCGATCACCTCAATTCCAGTATTTCCAATATTCTCATTTATGTATTCTTTGATATTATAATAACCTTATTATAAAATTTTTCTTTAATAAAACATTTAAACTTGTTTATTGACAAATTTTGGATAAATTTTTGTACAAATTTTGTATGAGAGAGACCTCTTTTACAGGAAACGAGGCATTCCATCTTACTCCACACGGGTGACAACGCATCTGCATTTTGATTTGTAGTCGAGGATTGATGTGGACGTCTATGCACCACAGCAGTTACTTAACATCAGATGGACTGTGTGTGTGTATGTGTGTGTGTGGTAGACTGTGTTTATCACCATTATCCTATAAAAAAAACTAAATATTTGAGACTATATCAGATACATGTTTGTAAATATCCTCATATATGAAACAATTATTTTCAGGTACTAAATTGCTGCAAATATTTGTACATCTTTTATTAATAATTAAAATAAATAATTATAATTAATATGCATTTTATTTACATAACAATGAAATATAATATACAATAGTAAAAAACTATAATAAAAAAAACTAAACCTAATTACTTAGTCATCATACAGTCCTACTCCCCGTGGACCCGTGCACCTCTGGAAAGGAAATCCGGCTGTGAATGTAGAGGAGGGACGATATTTATTAAAAAATCTAAACATATATCTCTAAAGCACTTAAATCTTTATATAATATAGCTTCATATTGATGTGGAATGTGCTGTACCCCGCATCTTTCCCTGAAACACAATCATTTATAGCCTAAATAAAAGCATTTTGCTCAATAAATGAAATATTATCACAATACTCCCCTGAATTTATTTCATATTGGTGAATATGTAGTCGTTATTCTTTGACAGCTGATAACGGCTCTGCAGAAATATTTTCCTTTATAAATGGGTATTATCTCTGAAATCAAAAAGAAATATTATTATAATTGTCTTATACATTTATTGATCCTTAATGTAATTTTATAGCCAAAATTGGCCTCTGAATAACAAAATAAAATAAATTATATATACATAGCTTTAGACAATTGAAAAAAAATTGACAATTTTATAAATATAATTATTAATTTTAATTATAAATAGCTATATAAATATGTAAAAAAAAATGTTTACCTACTGAAAATGAGTTTCAATAAACTGTCTTCTTCTAATATTTCCCCTTATTGATGGTGCAATATATCTTTGTACTATAGGTTCAGATGAATATTGTTCAATGCTATCTCTCTCACCAGAAAACACATCTTCTCTCATGTCGATGGCCATATTGTGTAGTACAGCACATGCAACAATTGTTTTTTTTGCTGTTTCAATATCTCCAAACATACCTCTTAATAGGCAACGAAACCGTTGCTTCCACAAACCAAAACATCTTTCCACTGTGTTCCTGGTACGGATATGGCTCCTATTATATCTTTCTTCTTGTGGTGTTGTGGGGTTCAGCAGCGGTGTAAATAGGTAAGGGGTACAAGGATAGCCACTGTCACCAAGTAATATTCCAGAGAATGCACCAGCCTCAAACCTCTGTTTTAGTCTACATTCTCGGAATATTCTGGAGTCATGTACACTACCACGCCACCTGGTAACAATGTCCATGATTTTCAGGTCAGCATCACAAACCACCTGTAAAATAAGAGCTCATTAGTACTTTATGTTTTTCTGGTTTATTTTAATATATATTTATTACCATAAGATAGTCAAACAAATTATTTTCTATTATGATAAAGTAAAGTTATTAAGAGACAATCACAGCTATTTAAAATATTTGTATATTACCTGTACATTAATTGAAGAAAATCCTTTTCTATTAATATATAACTGACCCCCATCAGCATTCACTTTCTTTACTCGTATGTGAGTACAGTCAATTGCGCCAATTACTGTAGGAAAATTAGCAATACTGCGAAATTTCCTAATGGTTTCCTGCTGTTCATTTAAAGTAGTAGGCATTTTAATAAATTCTCGGGACTTCCGTGACAAAATTTCCGCTACTTTTTTACATGTCCTACTTACTACTGGTTGAGACACACCATGTAAATCAGCTGTATCGTCTTGAATCTACGAATAAAACAATAATATGTATTATTTGGCTTTTTATCTAGCGTAATGTTAGGTACATTGACCCCACCAAGATTATAAACAGCACTTACTTCATGGCGAGCCCAGTTGCGTAATGCACAAACCACTTGAATTTCTGGACTCAATGGGCATCCTCGAGGGTCGTGCACTAAATCCTCACGTAAGATACCCACTATTTTTTCTCCGAAACGTTTTGAGAACCTATACTTATACCTAAAATCTTCGTCACTCAATTCAAACGGATTCACGCGATGTCGATGTCTATCAGGTCGCCGAGTGGTGTCTAGCATGTCCAAATCTTCTAAATCCATCAAGTCAATCATGTTAATATCCATTTTTAACGATTTTAATAACACCAAATGAAAACAACGCTCACCTCAAATTAAGAAGTACCGAAATTGAGGTTAGTATAGAGTACCACAAACTATATAGAAAGGTTAGTACCATAGCTAAACTAGGGGTCTCGAAAGATTAACTTTAATACCATAGATAATCCTTGAACCAGAGATAATCTTCGTTTTGTAATAACGTTTTTCTTAGTTTATGGTTTAAATATATTACTAACTCCAGTACTATATTAAGTCCGTGTTTTGGAATAAGGCGGAATGTGTCTAAAGAGTTCAGCTTTACGAAATTTGTTGTTATTTTAGGACTTTCTCTATGCTAGTAATTATTCTGAGATCACGTACTAGATAGACATACAACAAAACACTATTACTCCTAGTATAATACTAAGATATAATATATAATCTATGATAAATCACCACCACCGCAGATTAGTAGGATTGATCCAGGTTGATCAAAGTAGTTTAAATAATCTAAGTAGTTTCTATTTCTTCTATTATATTGATTATTATTGATGTCCTTACACAACAATACTCACAACACAGTATGTGACTGAGTCAAATGAAATGGATAGGGAGTTATTTGCTTTTATTAACACTGGTATTAAACCATTTTTAACTTGGAGTAATATTACTATGTAGACTTAAGTACTTCCTATTGTCCATGGATATAACACTTATAATCACAAACTAATAAGAAGTATAGTAGGTATAATATACTCTGTGAAGTGATACAATTTGGATATTTTGTGGTAATCACTTAATATTTACCAAACCCAAATTTATTACATTATATAATAATATAGGTAACAGGTCCGACGGACATTTACAAAAAAAAAATGTTATTTATATTAATGCAAACGTAGCACAATTAGAAAATATTACAAAAATCTCCTAATATGTAAGCTGATGCTGGATGTAACTCTGCTAAAACGAAATAAGTTCTATATAGTTTAAAATGAAATAATGTGATTTTGTTTCATGGAAAAATGCATTTGAGCAATGACTATTTAGTTCTCAAAAAAATCTAATTGAAAGACAGGTACTTAGATACCTAGTATATGTAAGGTTAGGTTTGAGCGGTGACATTTATAATTTATATACTCTTTGGTAGGAAGGAATCTAATAAAAAGAAAAATGAATCCGACTCCTCCTCTCCCCGCTGTTTTTATGTGTCTGCGTGTGTTTGTAAAGACCATAATATCAAAGGAGTTTATTTATACGTCATATGTATGAGTATACGTATACGACTACGTCTTGGAATATATTATATATATGCACAATGCACATGATTTAACACAGAGAGTACATTGTATTTAATTACAATTAATACTATGTCTCCAATCTTCAGGTCTCTATAAGGAGAAATGTAAATATTCATGTAGGACAGGTCTATCTTAAAATGATTTTTCTTTACGTTATTTTTTGCTTGTCGAATTAATCGAATCAATATTATAATAGGTTGTCGGCGTTTTTTACAAACTAGGAAAATAAAAAAAATATCAATATTCACTATTGTTTTTAATACTTTAAGAGTACATAATTAACTTAGGCACATATACACTATAATAATACTCTGAATTAAAAAAAAAAACTAGGTAGTACTTAATACCTATATTAGTTTTATAAAGTTCGAAGAAATTAGATTTAAAAAAATGGGTAGTTTATTACTTAACTTCTATAGGTACTTCATTGCTTATTAGAGGAATGTATGTGCGCTAGCTAGTGTAGAATTTATAAAGTTGTATATATTTAATTACGGTATAATAAAGCATGCGGGGGGCGAGGCGGTGCGGCGCGCTCTCATATTCCGTATATTGATTGTGTGCGAGGGGGCCGGGGCAAGGAGGGGGCCACGGCGTGCCCCACTCTGTTTTTTACGACACGGCTTTCTGTGTAACATAATAAGTATTTTAAAATTTTTGTGAAATGTTTCGGTGTTATTTGTGAAAATTCGGGAAGTCGGAAAAGCGTAAACAAGGTGAGAAAATTGCATTGGGAGGGTTTTTGTTAAAATATCCGTTTTATAATTTATAATATAAATAAAATTTTATAGTTCTAAATTCCGTCGGCGGCGCGTACCTACAGTATTACACTGTCATACCGCGTACGTATAGTGTTTTTTACGGGCATCGTTCTAAAAATAAGTTGTAATAATTATAATTTTATGTAGCGGTCGCAGCAGAGACGGTTTTCTGACGATTTTCTATTTAACTTCAAGTAGTGAGTGATTTGTGGTTGATAAAGTGTTTGTGGTGGTGCAGATGCAGGGGCTGGTGAGCGACAAGACGTTCCACTTGAAATGGAACAACCACCTGCAGAACTTGAGCCAGCTGTTCACAACCATCTATTCATCGTCGGCGCTCGCGGACGTCACGCTCTCCTGCCGCGATGGCACCCTCAAAGCACACAAGCTTGTCCTCTCGGCTTGCAGCCCTTATTTCGAACAGATTTTCAAGTAAGTACATTAGTGTCTTCATTCTCCATACTTAAAAATTATATTCATTCTACTATAAATTTAAATACAATATGATTATGCATTCATAGGATAAATTTTCAAAATTGAATATTGTAGAAAAGAATAATTATTTTCATTTTGTAAAGTTACTTTTATGGCAGTCATTCTTAATTTTATTTTATAAATAAATTTCTTCGTAAACAACATTAAGAATCACTTCAAATTTTTTATTCAATTAAAAATTGTTTATGTTTAATTTCATATAATATTTTTTCTCTCTTAGGGACAACCCCTGTCAGCACCCTATAGTGATCCTTAAGGGAATACCATTCTCAGAAATAAATCTGCTTGTTGAATTCATGTATAAAGGCTCAGTGGATGTGCAAGAGTTAGACCTTCAATCACTGATGCACACAGCATCAGAACTGGAAATCAGAGGCCTAGCTTATGAGGCTCGAGATAATGCAGCTCAGTTATTAAATGTAAATTTGGAATACCCCACATACTCGCAGACTGTTGTGCCCACACAGCAGACATTCACTCAAGCACGCACAGATGTTGAAAGACTTAAACAGGTGAGTTTAATATTGTCTTTAACATTATGTTTTTGGAATTTATTTTGATATGGATATTTGCCAATGTTGCCACATTTTATCCTTCAACCTTGTAAATTTTAAAGAATCATCATAACCATCAGTACAGCTCATTACACGTCTACTGCTAAACATAGGCTTCCCCCATAGATTGCATTAAACACAATTCTGAGCTACATCCATTCATGAACTTCCGGTTTGTTTCATCAGGTCATTACGCCATCTAGTGAGGGGTTGTATAATACTGAGCTTGCCAGTGCATGTTTATCATTTATGAACTTTAACTTCCCTCTTTGTCAACAATTGAAGGTTCTTTAATATTCTGAAGCTCAGTGCCACTTCAGCTGATATAATGGGCTATGAAATTTTCTCTTGTTCTTTAGATTGTAAACATAACAAAAAAATATATGAAAAAGTTTACCATTTTCCATAACTTGAGCTTAGGACACATCATTATAGCTCCTAAATTATTTTGTTTGTTTTTATTAATTTATTATGCTCTAAAAATACATTTTAAATAGCAGAATTTTCTGACTCCTCTGAATAACTACAACTTAACATTACTAATATTCATATTAACCACTCCAGGTAAACTTAAAAGGCTTGTGATAAGAGTGGGTCATGACTGTTAGTCTGATGGTTCATTTTTACCCAAAGCCTTTCACTTCACAATGCGCACCCTTAACCATGAGGATACTGTTGCTTTTTTATTTTTACATATTTAAATGTTTGTGCATCTCTTAACTATTGTGCAACTTCTGAATAACTTGACCAATTTAGACCTTATTCACATGCCTCCTTTACATTACTTGCGAAGTAACTTTGATGAAATGCTAATCGAAGTTGATCTCAGTCTGAAGAATGTGACTACACACTTGTGCTACTTCATGGAGAGCTCAGTCGTCTTGAGTCTCTGGCACCCTTAATATAAATAATGTTCAAGAGGCAGCTGCTATAGGTAATTAATTGTGTGAACGGTATGACGTCAATGCATTAACTAAATAAATAATTATGTAGAAAACTACATATTAAATATTTATGTTAAAAAAAATATTCATAACTGGCATAAGCCGGGTAGTGTAGTGAGACGCTTCGTGTAACTTCGGGGTACTTTGCAAAGTCCTTTGACTCTGGCGCAAAAAACTGACAGCGATCGGAAGTCGCCCGAGGCCAAGCGAGGTTGCACGAAGCAAATCGAAGTACCTCTCTACGCTATTCGCCTCTTCCCACTTCGATTTACTTCGCGAGTAGTATAGAGGAGGCAACACAATATATAATTTGTTTTTTTTTTTGGGAAAATGGTTCATAACTATGTCAGGAATCAATAGGTGGGGCTGTAGTCAAATTGTTAACAAATTATGTATTGATGAACCAAAATGACTTAGATTTAGTGCTAAATAATAAGACATAAGAATCTGGTGGTGCTGTGTGGTTATTAATACATTTTGTAATTACACTGTAAATAGTCTGGGAGTGAATTTAGTATGAAACTCATCACCATCTACCAGCAAAGACAGAGCAACGTTATTTCATACACAATCATATTGCTCCATATTTGTATTCTCAAGGTTATTTCTAGTATCTAAGTATTATTTCTGTTATGACTTGAACTTCTGTTTTCAATCTTTATGATGACAGGCCTTAGGCTGAAATATTCTACTGCTAAACATGGCAGTGTGAGAAAATGCACTACCTTATATCATCCTGTAGGTATCGTAAGAGACAACAGAGGAAAACAAATCAGGAGATAGACAGCAAAGTCTTCCTAATAACGACTAAAAATAAAAAACAACGTTTGCACACCCTGCTTGCTAAGTGTGGTAACTATGTCAAATATCCCCCGTATAAGGCAATCTATGGAGGAGGCCTATCTTCAGCAGAGGACTTTAATAGGCTGTAACGGTAATAGTAAACATGGGTCTATTATAATGATTATAAACGTCATACACAGTAGATAAATTGGTTGCAAAATTTTAAAGAAAGCTTGTCTTAGAATATAGAGGTAAATTTTACCAAGCCCAAGAACCAAGGCTATTTAAGTATATTTTTGGGAGCTATGTTTTCAAGCAATATGCTCTGTGAATATAGAATTAGCTATTTCATAGCTCGAAATTTCCTAATATCCTGACAAACACTCTTTGTGCTAACCTGGGATAGTATGCAAGGATGGAACATGGGATATATAACTTGTCCTAAATTTGTGTAAACTAAACATAGCTTTATAATTATTTAAATTGCTTGAATCTTGTTTTGAGTATTAATACAATTTTTTTAAATTTGTTCATATATAATTTTAAATTCAATAAAGAAGTTACTTTGATACAATTGACAATGCCTACCGTCGTTTAAAAAAATACAATATTTAATTTCGTGATACCAATAAAAGTTATTTAATCCATATTATTTGTTTTCTAAGACTATGAGTAAATTTTTTCTCATATACTGCATGTTAAAAAACAATCTAACAAACCAACTCCAAATTATCATCAGATCAGGTTGAAATTTATGTGAGCTAATTGAAAAAAGAACGCCATGTAGTGGTGACTTAAGATAACCCACTACCCCATTTCATCCTGTGGGTGTCGTAAAAGATGATAAAGGGTAACTGAAACAGGAGATGAGCAGCAACAGTTTCCTGATAATAACTCAAAATAATAGAATCTGTTCTTGCCAATCTCCTGCCCAGCATAGCAATTATGGCAAATAATACTAACAGCTTCTCTTAGGGGGGATCCCTTATGAGGCACTTTTTGTGAAGCAGTGGAGTGTTGCAGGCTGTAATGATAATGATGAACTGTGTAAAAAATTAACACAATCATTTAACTAGTGTTGAACATAATGCATTACATCTATTAAAGACTAGCTGTTCCCCGCGACTTCGCCCGCGCGTAATTTATTACGATTGGATTTCATGGGTTTTAATTTTTTTGCGCGGAACCCTAATTCTTTTTCTAAAATAAAAGTAGCCTAAGTTACTTCTTATAACATCAGCTATTTGCCAGTGAAAGTCCGGTCAAAATCGGTCCAGTCGTTTCGGAGATTAGCCGGAACAAACAGACAGACAAACAGACAAAAATTTTAAATATCTTGTTTTTGTTATAAGTACCGTATATACTTTCATATGCATATAGTAAAAAGCTGTTATTTCGAAATTACAAACCGACACTTTAATTTTATTTATTTGTATAGATAATAAACAGTTGAATTAAAAGCTGCTCCTTTTGTAGTTACTTAAAAATATTTAAATTAAACTCACAAAAGGACCAACACAGATTGACAATTTCTATTTTCAATGTCCCGTATTAATATTAATTGTTTTAACCTAATCTCTAGATAAACGATTATAAAATTTAAATAAATCAACATAAATAAACTTAACTCTAAAATAATAATTTCAGTTGTTCTCCAATTTGCTTCATTTACACAACTTATCTCTAATCTTTATTAATTTCTGACTATATTTAGTACAAATTAATGATAATGATATAATTTAGGCATACAATATGAGATTCACATTGAAACAATTCCCAAACAAGATTAGAATGATATATTTCAACTATTTTCTTCTATTTTTGTTAGCGTTCTTATTGTTTCGTATTTGTATGTTTTATGACGGCGACGGCTTGGTCAGCGTTCACGTCTGATGAATCGTGAATACAAGTTCGAATCTTGTAGTTGTTGTTTATACAAAAATACAGTTAGGTAATGGCTTTTAGAATTGAATAGTGTGCAATCTACGATTTTGACATTTCGTCGCCACCTTCCGCCAATTTTTATTACACAAGCGTAACATAGTTTAGGAAGACATAACTCTCTTGTTAATCCGGCCAGTACTTACTGCATATCACAATGCAGGTGACGGTTTCAGTTTATTTATGTGGAAATGTTTTCATGTGCCTGATTTTATACATTGTTAATTATTTTTAAAGCTACGTTAGCTCAGGCACACGGCGCTCGCCTTTCACAGATTTGACAGTTGTTTACAGAGTTATCTTCAGCTTCTGAATACATAGTCACATATTGGATTGTTCATTGTGATTTTATTATTGTACATGCCAATTCATCGGTTTTGGTTGGCTTCGAAAGAAAAGAAAACATCGTAAGAACTAAACTTAAATATTGCATTAGATATTAGGACTCCTCTACTGCCTGGGGTACGTACCATCCTCTTACCGCTTTCCGCCGCCAAATAGAAAATGCTTGCACTGTAGTGTCCCTCTCTGGTCAGTATAGACTACCATTAAAGGGTATAATAGAGAGGTATTTTATTCTCTTTAGGCTCACAATGCATCTGCAACCTTCTTTGTTCAAATTTGATGACCACGGGCTACAGTAGCCATTTACCAACGTTTGTCATTTCAGTTTTGTAAAAAGAAAACTAGCTGTTCCCCGCGACTTCGCCCGCGTAGAAATTACTACGATTTCATGGGTTTTAATTTTTTTTTGCGCGAAGCCCTAATTATTTTTCTAAAATAAAAGTATCCTAAGTTACTCCTTATAACATCAGCTATCTGCCAGTGAAAGTCCCGTCAAAATCGGTCCAGCCGTTTTGGTGATTAGCCGGAACAAACAGACAGACAAAAATTTAAAAAATTGTTTTTTGTTATTAGTACCGTATATACTTTCATATGCATTTAGTAAAAAGCAATAATTTTAACATTACAAACAGACACTTCAATTTTATTTATTTGTATAGATTGCATGAATGGAAAAAAATATTTTGCTGTTTGTCCGTCAAAAAGCACTAGAGCAGCGTCGCTGTGTCTTCCCGCTCGATCTCTTAAAAAGGATGACCGTTTCCAGCTTATTAAGGTGAAAGCTCCAGGGTGGCCCGCGAAATTCATTTATAAATACATACTCGTTACGGTCGCGAATCATATTTTGTTAAACACACAACCCGACACTGACCTGCAAATTGCAAAAAACCTAAGAAAATTTGAATTTCGCGGGCTACCCTGGCGCTTCCACCTTGAGGCTATTTT